AGTAGATGTTTCAGGTGTACATCCGACACATTTCATCAGTACAATTGAATGTTTACACAGGAATTTATGGAACAAATTGGAAGTAAAAAAAATGCATTTTTTTCGTTTTTCGACCTAAGCAACACTTGTCGGATTGAAGATTTTCTACAAAAAATTTGAGGCCTATTTAAATCAGTTGTTTGGTAAATGTCGAGTGTTATAGAATAAAACTATGAAACTGTTTATTGTTTTTTTAAACAACTTAAAGACTAGCTCCAAGGAAACTACGCGCGGGAGCCCCTGTAACATTATACCCTTCCTTCAAATACACCCTACAACCCTAGCCACAGACCACAGTGTTTCCTCATAAATTATGCAAATGAGTTAGCTTATTGCATAATTGATATTCTACAATGTTCCTCTCTTCCTTCTAAGTTGGTTACATATGTCACAACATCTGATGTTCTATAGGGAAATACAGGTGACTTATCAAAGTTTTATACCAATTATGCAAAGTAGACACTTATTTGCATAGTTAAAGAACATCTCATTATGCAAATCTTCACCTTACCTATCTACATACCAAAAATCTTGACAATCCATCAATCCCTAGTTATCATCTTCCTAACATTTTACGAAAAACGGTCCTGTAGTTCCATAACAAGTTACTATAGGAGGCCCAAACCAAACCTTTTTTACTGTCCCAAGGGCTATCTATCAACCAAAAATCGTAACCCTAGAAATGTACAGATATCGAAACCGAAAGTTCTGGTGCAGTACGAACAAAAGCCGCTAATCAAAAGGGCTCAAAAATAATAGTTTCTTCTTCTCACCAAGTGACAAATAAAAAACACTATAATTACGCTTTGGCTTTTTAGCTAAAAGTATGCTTATGATTTACCAATCAGATCTTAGTAATGGTTCCGGGTGAAAAAAAAACATATACTAGTATACAAATATGTATACCTTTGTTGTTATCTTGTTGAAGTGCACCGGGTACGTTATTTGTGTTGTTTGTCGTATGAGAGCCGCTCTGTTGATCGCTACTGGGCTGTGTAGTGTCTCCCTCCTCATCAGCCGCCTGTATGTCCTGACTGGCCTGCCGCGGTTTGTTGATGTCTCCCCGGTCAACATAATTGTACGTGTGACTGTCAGGGTCGTCATCGCAGTCATCAGGAGCAACGGTGTCAGCCTCAGGTTCCTCATGTGCGGTAGGAATGGCCGGTTGTTCTAAGTAGCACGGTGGTAAAATCTGGGCTGAAAAGTTCCCACATGTCATAGAACCAGAACTGTGTTCGATCGTGTTCGATCTGGGGAATTCGAATCGAACCCGCGTTCTATTTCGGGGTCACCTGCGGTCATTTACTATAAAGCGGCAAAACAAGGCTTTCTACCTCCGTGCATTGCAACAGATAAAAAACAACACTTTTCTATAGATACAAACAGTTTCCTGGACAGTACATGTCCGCTATTATTTTTGGTGGACATGTAACTTGTAGCGAAGCTACTGTCGTATCCTTGAGTGACCTTGAATACTGTAATGATTCTTTACGCCAGTATGAATAACACAATGCACACTTTCTTGCGATATGACATGTCTCCAAAACTCGTTCAAACCTGGAAACATGGAGAGTCAAACATACCCCATTCACGGCTCAAAATGACCGTAACGGTTGTCCCGAAAATCATGTTTTAGGGATTTTTGAAAAATGGCCTCAATTTTGAATTATGGGTAATTTAGTGAGAAAAATGTCAAAAAATGCCATTTTTTCACCAATATGTCGACAAAAACTACACTTAAAATCAGAAATTAAAAAATCCCTAAAACACGATTTTTTGTCTTATTCCTAGTCTGCGAAAAATACAAAAATCGGGGATCTGGGGTAATATCTGTAGCCAGGTTTGAACGATGTTTGCCTAAAAACGCAACATGACTTGTGCTCGGAAACCCGAAAATAATCGTCTTTCTGAGCGAAATTTTTAAAAATCATTGATTTAACATAAAAAGCTAACATTTAAAGGATGTTAAGACGATAATTTCATTTTAATTTGACAAAATTTACCCCTAAATATTATTTGTGTATTTTCAAATATTTTACGGGTAGTCCAAAACAGGCCAAAATAGCGTGTTGTAACCCGATACCTTTTAGAACGCGCATAGCAATGGGAAAGAATGCCGTAGTGACAGACCGCCGTGAGAAAATTAACAAAAACAAGTCTATCCGTGCTCTATGCAGAGCATAAGGTTTTGGTGCCCATGTCCGTTTCTGTAGCCCTCGGGCGACACACAGTTGTGCAGGGCACTACAGCAGGGGGTTAGTCCGCTGGTAGTGCTGTGTGTTTGACCTTCCCACACTCTTTCTCATATGTGCTGAGTGCTAAACAGAGAAAGAAGTGTGTACCATTTTTTAAAGTCTTTGGTATGACCCGGCCGGGGTTTGAACTCACGACCTCCCTGTTTGAACTCATGGCCGGTTGTTCTAAGTAGAAAATTAAGGAGAGGATTTTAAAAAAATTAAATGTATGGAAAATGCTTTTCTCTACCAACGCGTATTACGTTTTACCATTACGTTATAACTGAACTGCCAAAGAAGAAGAATAAATCTAACAAACAGCAGAACTCCCTGTATGTATTTAGGATTAATGTATATTTACATTGATTACTACTTTTTGCAGGCAATTCTTAGACAAGCTTTCTTAGGCGAAGTACTCACATCCATTTCATTGGGCAGCCAAGGCAATTATAGTTATGATTATGCCCCCCTTCTGCTCTCTACCTCTCCCGCAGGGCAAAACTATAAATGCCCTAATAAACGTCAAACACAACTGAGTGTTGGTCCTGTGCTATTTGGCAGCCATAGTGAAATAAAGCAGCTAGTCACACGTATAAGTTTATGTCATGATGTAAATACCTAGTGCTACCATGTCGCAATTTCTATTTCTTCACCATAGAAATATATATAGATATGAAGGCTTATACTAATTTTCTTTACTACAAAGTAGATATAAAGTCTACATTTCAACACTTACATGCGTATACCCCACACTCATTACATATCACCTCCCATGCAGTGATCGCTTTGCAATAAAAATAATTATTACTGTGAAAACACACCCTCAGTCTACAATCTTCTTGCAACAAATTGAGAAAAGCATTATTTGATGTAGGTAATTGATCTCGAAAGAACTACCAAAACAATCATGCTTGTTTTTAAACTCACTCTCCCTTGCTCCAGACTAATGTTTATACTATAAACGAGTGGTTGTTGCCTACAGGCTCTACGACCTACAGGGCTTCGAAACGAATTTCAGGGACTTAACATAAATCCTTGCTAGAAAATATTTTAAAGCGTTCCTCTGAGCTTCTATATAACTGCTATCAAGTACGTATGTTTTCTCAATCCTGCAAAGATTAACCCTCAAACCATATTAATTATGTTGGGAAGGATTTTGCCGTATTTCTGCTCATTATCGTAATTTGTGCACCTCAAACAATATGCATAGCTCTACAGCCATGTCAATGATCTTTGACGCTAAACCCATAGGCAACTAAGTCTTCAGTCACATTTTTTTAAATTCAATATGTTGAGGTCTTTCAGCAGCAATGTGTTTAGCACGCCAATGGCAGCAGAAAACTCATGGAAGCACATTACCTGGAAGAAATATTGACAACAACAAAGGATTCACATGTGTTTAAAATTCTGGGGACCCCACTGGACCATGTATAACATCTCTAGGATAACTCAAGCGAAAATGTTCCAATCTCAGTTAAACGTATGAAAAGGCATATATACAAACATACCAATAGAAGGAATTTTTTTCGACAAGAAATATCAAAATGGCACATATTTATATACGCCAGGGGTCGGTTTTGACCTCATGCGGTGGTTTGAGGGTTAATTTTGAAGGGTTTATTTAACCACCTTATGCCCGGGTTAAAACTAACCCCAGGCGTACTAGTATGTGAATATGTTTTGATATTTTTTGTCAACAAGGAAAATTCTTCTATGGGTTTCTTTGTATAATCGTCCTATAACTTCTCATACATTGTTACTGAGATTGCAACATTTTTGATTGAGTTTCCTAGAAAGTTTTTGCGTGGTCCATTGGGGTCAAAACTGACCCTAGCATTTCTAACACTTGTGGGTCTTTTGTTGCCGTCAATATTTCCTCCATGTGATGTGCTTGTTTGGGTTTTTGATGCCATTGGAATAACCTCAACATGTTGAGTCAGAAAACAAAAAAAAAATATTCTGACCCTAGATCTAGTTGTCTATATGAACATGGAGTCAAATGTTATCGACATGGTTGCCTGTAGGTATCTTGTGTGAGGTGTATAAGTTACAACAATAGGTAGAAATCATTTACACATAATCATGTCAAATTGACCCTCATATATTAATGAAACTGTACATACTTAAAAATCACCAAAAAAAGAGTCCCAAAAACTATTTTCGTACAAAACATAATGGGGTCGCTTTCGACCCTATACGGTACGATATGTCCCCCAAAAAACTACGGTAGTTTGAGGGTTAACCCACAACCTAATGACGTAAATTTGTTTGTAGCACTTCTGCAGTTTTTAAAAGAAAGCCCCTTTCCATGAGTTTACTCCTATGGATCATAGAAACAAGTTGTTCTTTTGGTGGGAAGTGAAACATCAACGTTTCTGGCTGGATGGGAAGTAGTGCTTTACCTCAAATTGTACTTTTTAAACTTTTGTATACATAGTATTGAGAACTATTTATTTACATTAAGACAGAATCCAACTTAGAATGATGGAACGACATAGGAACAAAAAAAAACTTAGAAGGAGCCAGAAGTAAATGTATGTAACAAAGGCTGGAATGACTATCGATATATGTCAAAATGCGGATCATAAAGTTATTTACATTAAGACAGGATTCAACTTAGAATGTGCCTGCCAGACTCCTTATCCGACTAAAATATTTTTGATGATAACAAACATGTGTAATTTAACTAAAATGTTATAAAATATATTAAAAAATAAAAAATATTGTGTATTGAGTGAAAGAGTTGATTATGCTTGCCTTTGGCAACCCAGGCACACACAGCAAGCGTAAACCGGTACACTTTTCACTTTGATTTAATGTACATAAATTTGTCCATTTTTTAAAATGGACAAATTTATGTACATAAAATGATTGTTGAACCAACATTGTTTTTTTTATATGTTGTTACGTAAATATTACGTTATTATTACAATAATAAAGGAAATTTGAACTAAAACGCCTTTGAGTTTTTAAAAAAACTTTCTTCTAACCATTATTTTTTTCTTTCCTATAAAATAAATTTTGTTCTTGTGATGAAAATAATAAGAAATGCATGTTATATATAAATACACGTCAAATAAAGTACATGGGCATTTTTACAACAATTACTCACATACCAGACATTAAAAAATCCATTCACAATTTCTTAAGTACAAACATGTATGTTGACATACATAAAGACCCACACTACAGCCAGTCAGCTAAGCACAAACCGAAAACATCCCATTCTGACAAAGGCAATAAATACCTGTTTTATCAGGTTGTTGGGTGGAATCGTTCGTGTACATCTTGTTCCCAATTAATCCAATAATGTTGCGCCTTACAGTTGCGGGCAATGCGCCACCATCTTCTCTGTCGGTTGTATGTCTGGCGGCATTGTTTGGGTCATCAATCTGTGCACGGGTGTCGGTGTCACCTATTTCGCCATTGTCACTCATGATGTTTTCCATCCCTGTGCAAACGGATAATTTTTCTTAGTAAATACAGACACATTCGACCACCTTGTCCACCCATTCACAAAGCAACTAACAGGATCTGCATTGTATAAAAATATTCTTGTAACTTCAAGTCAGTGATAACAAAATTCAACAACTGAATAGGATTGAAACATACATGTATTGAGACATGGCGTTGAAGATGATACCGGCTTATCCTGATGTGGTTCTTCTCCCATTGACATCTGTGCTCATTGTGCAACGGGTGTTACACAGAATAATGGGCCCCGCCTAGCTCACGTGAATACTTCGCCCACACAACTTAATTAGTCTTGTGCAAGTTGGAAAAATGACTGTAAACAAGTTATATGCAGTAATTGTTTTTCACATGTTGAAGAACAAACGACAGTTGGACGCCTACAGTAGTTTTTACACACGGGCTTTAATACGCCATATAAACATTACTGTACATGTCTAACCTGCGCAAGGTCGCCCATAAAGTCAAATATTCAGTAAAAGTTTCAAGTTT